TTTTTTTTTTTTTTTAGTTTGCAAGGTTTTGTTTGTTTTACAGCAGGTGTGGGTTGGGGAGGGCCTTGGCAAGCCTGACCCCGTGTTCCACTCAGCCACGCAAGGAGGCCCACGTAGGTACTGGTGGTCGAGGGGAACCAGCCAGACGAGATCAGCCGGAACGCACTGATTTCGAGGCTTTGTGTTTATTTTGCCCTGGGCCCCTTCTCGATAGGCTTTCCAATGTCCTTCCCCCGGAGCTTGAGGCCAATGGCTCTCTCGATTTTTCCCAGAACCTGGTTATTAGGAATAGCCCGTCCACTCTCATAGTCTGCGATCACTTGAGGCTTTTCATTGATTTTCGTGGCCAGGTCCTTCTGTGTGAGCCCCTTGCTCTGCCAGCCCTGCTGGATCACTTTGCCCACTTCCAGAGTCACCCTGTCATGATGCAGCTCCTCTATCTCCCAGTCCAGCTTAGCTGTGTTCTTGGTGATTGAATGCTGTTTGTTCTGGCCAGCAGCCCATTTCTTGGAAGTCTCCACATCTTCTCCCCGTCTCTGAGCCGCTAAGATGGCCTGCTTGGATTTGGCCTGGGCAGCCGTGGGTTCTTATGCAGCACCGTCACGGTGTCCCAGTCGCTCTCGGCCATGGCGCGGCAGGCTGGGGGCGGCGGTCCATCCGGCGGCTCCACGGCAGCTGCTCGAGCTTGGTGCTTTTCTTGTAGATTTTTAAGATATTTTATGTATTTAGGAAAATTATACTTTGTCATTTAAAGATTTTTTTCTCTATGTGTCATTTGTCTTTCAAAATGACACATAGAGAAAACTCTTTTGACCATTAGAAACGCTTTCCATTTTTATATAGTAAATAATATCAGTCTTTTCCTTTTTGGTTTTGAAGTTTGCTTAGAAAGGCCTTTCCTCTATGTGAAAATACATTTTTAAAAAGTCTTCCATATTTTCCTCTAGATTCTTTTACATTTCATTGTTTAAACTAAAAAGTTTCTGCACAGCCAAGAACACAGTAAGTAAAGCAAGCAGACAGCCCTTAGAATGGGAGAAGATATTTGCAGGTTATATCTCTGACAAAGGTTTAATAACCAGAATCCGCAGAGAACTCAAACGTATTAGCAAGAAAAGAACAAGTGATCCCATTTCAGGGTGAGCAAGGGACTTGAAGAGAAACTTCTCTGAAGAAGACAGGCACATGGCCGTACTACAGACACATGAAAAAATGCTCATCATCCTTAATCATCAGAGAAATGCAAATCAAAACTACTTTGAGATATCATCTAACTCCAGTAAGATTAGCCCATATCACAAAATCCCAAAACCAGAGAATGTTGGTGTAGATGTGGAGAAAAGGGAATACTTCTGCACTGCTGGTGGGAAGTACATTCCTTTTGGAAAGATGATTGGAGAACACTTAGAGAACTAAAAATATACCTCCGTTTTGATCCTACAATTCCTCTACTAGGTGTATATCCAGAAGACCAAAAATCACACTACAACAAAGATATTTGTATCAGAATGTTTATTGCAGCCCAATTCATAATTGCTAAGTCATGGAAGAAACCCAGTGCCCATCGGCCCACGAATGGATCAATAAATTGTGGTATATGTACACCATGGAATATTATGCAGCCTTAAAGAAAGATGGAGACTTTACCTCCTTCATGTTTACATGGATGGAGCTGGAACATATTCTTCTTAGCAAAGTAGCTCAAGAATGGAAGAAAGTATCCAATGTACTCAGCCCTACTATGATACTAATTTATAGTTTTCATATGAAAGCTATAACCCAATTATAGCCCAAGAATATGGGGAAAGGGGAGAGGGAGGGTAGGGGAGGGGGGAAGATGGGTGGAGGGAGGGTGATTGGTGGGACCACGCCTATGGCGCATCTTATAAGCGTACATGTGAAGCTTTCTAAATGTAGAATATAAATGTTTTAACACAATAACTAAGAAAATGCTGTGAAGGCTATCTTAACTGGTTTGATGAAAATATTTCAAATTATATATAAAATCAGCACATTGTACCCCATGACTGCATTAATGTACACAGCTATGATTTAATAAAAAAAATAAATTTCATTATTTAACAATATTGAAATATTTGATTCTTCTGGAATTTCTTGAGTCCAGCTTTGCTTCTTTTTAATGGCTAGCTATTTGAAATCCAAATTTAGTTAGCTTGACTTAACCATTCCAGTATACATATATTAAAACGTCATATTTTATATCATAAATTTATAAAATTATTTTGTCTTAAAAATGTTTATTGCAGCTCAATTCATAATTGCCAAGTTGTGGAAGCAACCCAAACACCCATCAACCCATGAATGGATTAACAAATTGTGGTATATGTATACCATGGAATACTATTCAGCCATAAAAAGGAAACTTTATATCACATCTTTATATTTACCTGGATGGAGTTGGAACACATTCTTCTTCGTAAAGTATCTCAAGAATGGAAAAAAAAAAGTATCCAATGTACTCAATACTAATATGAAGCCAATATATAAACACACACTTATATGAATGCTAAAGCACAAATATAGTTTAGCAAAGGGAAAGGATAAGGAGGGATGGGGGAGGGGAAGGGGGAAGGGTGATTGGCAGAGGAGGGAGGGCATATGGTGGTGTGCACAACGCAAAGGTATTCAGCATACCCCCCCGCCCCGGGGTGAGGGGCTCTCCTACAACTTGAACTTTACCTTGAAACTGAGAAACATGTGACATAAAAATTTGCTCCCTCATATTAATTTGAAATAAAAAAAGAAAGAGAAATGAAGATGTAAAAAAAAAAATAAAGAAAAACACAGGAACAGGAAAAAACCATTTTATCCATTAGTTTGGAATGTTTTATTGGTATCATATAGTAAATATCCACATATGCATAAATCTATTATTTTATACAGGATATTCCAAATTTTATACTTGCATAGAAAAGTAACATGTTTATATCAAATAAATAAAGTAGAGCTTAGATAGTGAGCTTAACTGGGCTGACCTATGTTGTTTTCCAAATGTTTTAGCCTAACATTTCTGTGGCTGATTCTGAAACCAATAGAAAATTAACTTCAGATGATGCTTCTATCTTTAGGGCTCTTGGCTGAAAGTATAACAGAAATGTCTTCAGTTTGATGACATCAATTTTGTAAATTCTCCACATGCTGTCACATCTAACAGGTCAGTATGTGTGTAGTAAAATAGTTCAGCACAATGATGCTAGTATACCATTCAAGTCAGTTGGAACACATTCATTTTCCTCAGTTAAATCTCACACCGTTTGGAAATGTTAGTTTATTACTCAGAAAGCCAGGCTAACCTACAAGGCAAATAATAGCCTACTAAATATAACAGACCCTCACATTCCTATAATTCTACAAATTAATGGTTTCATGTACAGAGAACCCCTATCATGGTCAAAAAATCCAAATTAGTTATTTCTGCCTGTCTTTCTAAAACTGCATCCTTGAGGAGGTGACACAGATTAGTGATGTTGAGCATTAATCCTACCAAAAACCCTTCAATTTTAAAAATAATTGGGTACTTTTTATTTAGTTTTCTACATGGCATTAAAGGTTCACAGCTCCTTAGATAGCTATGTAACACCATTCTTGGAGGAATTGGGGTAATCTTTAAGAGCAACCCTCACTATTATCCAAATCCCAGAACCAACCCACAAAGGAAACAAAAACAGAAGTAAGATCTTATAATTTTACAGGGAGGCTTCCTTAGAATTGAAGTTAGGTAATGTTCCAATTCATTTTTTGCTGAGCAGCTATAGTATTTGAGGTAATACAAAATTCCACCCACTTAGTGATCTCTGTTTTTACCAGCAAATACTACAGCATCAAATGTAGATCATCAGTCCATGTGGTCTCCTAGTTAACTCCTTGGCTAGAAGTTAGTTAACTGGATAATTAACTGGGTCTTCTTTCACATACAAAACAACTTCTATGTTGCTTTTTGTACCAGGTCTAATGGAAGTGAACTCTGCTTCACCAATATTTCTTAGTTGGAGAAATTCTTATGATTTTGTCAAAGGCAGAATATCCAATTACCTCATTAATACAAATATTAAGAGGAATGTACATATTGACTTTTTGCACCATGAAATTCATTTAAGTCTTCTGTTGGGCCAGCTGATAATACAACAGTAATTGCTGGAGCTATGTGGTGTAGAGGGCGTTCACTGAATCCCGATTATTCTAGAGGAGCTGTCTTTCAAATTCTCTAAATGTTGGATGGAGAAATGTCATTTTATACAAATCTTTCTAACTATCTTCCCCCAAACTTTATCTTTTGTGGTTTTTGCTAAAGAATAATCAGACAGAGTTGAAGGCTGTGCACTTTCTTCTAAGGATGGGCTATATATAGTGTTTCAGGTATCTATTGCTATGTAACAAAGTACCCCAAAATGTGCTGAATCAAATATTTAATTATGATTCTCTCTCTTATGATTCTCTCCTTTCATTGTGCTTATCTGGGCAATTTTCACTTTCTTTCATGCAGTTAAAGGTAGATGATAAGTAGGGCTGGAGTAATCTGGAGGTTCTCCTGGGCTGGACATTCAAGATGGCTTCTTCTCTCACATCTCTGGAGCCTCAGTAGGCTTGACTGAAATAGCTGGTCACTAGTCAGGCAAATCCCTAAATTGAGAAAAGTTACAAAATCAGGAGACATGTTTTTTTTTTTCTTTTTTATTAAATCATAGCTGTGTACACTGATGCAATCATGGGGTACAGTGTGGTGTTTTCATATACAATTTGAAATATTTTCATCAAACTGGTTAACTTAGCCTTCATGTCATTTTCTTAGTTATTGTGTTAAGACATTTATATTCTACTTTTAGAAAGATTCACTTGTACCCTTGTGAGATAAACCATAGAGGTGATCTCTTCAATCACCCTCCCTCCACCCATCCACCCCCTTCCCCTCCCCTCCTCCTCCCCATATTCTTAGGCTATAATTAGGTTATAGCTTTCATATGAAAGCTATTAGGAGACATGGTTTAATCCATTTTTAGGACGTTTCTTCTTATCTTTTTTTTTTTCTCTTCTAAAAATTTTTCTAGTAGGATCCTATCTGCAGGTCTTTTTTATCTATCTATGATTTCAACCCTAACTCCCCCTTTTGTGAACTTAAAAACCAAAGCCTGCTTTATAAGATGTGGGATGCTTTCTAAATACATTGGAAGAAAGATACTCTATAAATGCAATTTGCAATATCTTTCCTTATTGTCTAGAGGGGCATGCACAATTTTTGATTAATACTGCAAACTCTAGCCTTTGGCACAGTGTTCCTCAGTGTTTAAAACCTTGTATTTCTGTTTCATAAAGAATTAACAAGATTTTCTTATGGGCTCCAGATTGGCCTATCGCTTAAAACATTTCTAAAAGTACAACTTGTGTACTAATTTTAACTTTGGCAAACTGTTGAAAATTAGACTGTAGTGGGTAGAACTTAATGTTTTCATATTCAGTTTTTCCCCCTAATTGTCTCAATTTTTGTTGCAAGGAACCATATGCATGCAAAATAACTTTTTTTTTTTTTGGAGACAGAGCCTCAAGCTGTCCCCCTGGGTAGAGTGCCATGGCATCACAGCTCACAGCAACCTCCAACTCCTGGGTTCAAAC